TGGACGAATACACCAATTCACTGCGGTAGTTCGGTTGCCAGAATTCAATAGAGCAACCAAAATGGTTGATTAGCCTTGCTTTGTGTTTACATGCTTTGTAACCTGGATTGTAAAACTGTGAATGGTGATTTTGCAGGTACTGAAGATATCTCTCTCGTAACATTGTGATTCGCTCGACATTACATCCTTGGATGATCTGCTTCTCTCCTTGTTGACATATACAGTATGATCAAACGCAGCTTTATGGGCAACTGATGCTTCTTTGGCATGAGCTTTCACACCAGTTGGTGTAGATGTGGAGCCTCTCTCTGGGGGGATGTTTACTTCACAGCAAGATTTATGATATTTTGCTTCCTTTGCTACGAGATCCAGGTCAAGGAGACACAGTTTATGGTCGTGTATAAGTTGATCTTTCTCCTCTATATCAGATTCTCGGCTTCTTGGTGTCAGCCTCATCAATGGATCATATTTCTGATTATGTTTCTTGACCCTTTTTGAGCATATAAAGCATTGATCTTGGGGCAGAGTTGTAGTTGGTGAGACAGGATTACATTTCCGCCTTTTCCGTGGACTTTGGACTTCTCCATCCACCTCTACTTCATCATGCTGACGTTTTGTAATTCTACTAGTAGTCGAGAATCGCTGATACCATTTTCGGTGATAACCAAGTTGGTGATGGACAATGACACCTGGAAGAGCTTCACAGTTCACTGCACCTTTTAGAGTCAGTTTTTCCTCTGAGTTGACGGATTCTTGCAGCTTTTCTTATTGGTCTAAAGATTTCTTGACTAATGGGATTGATCTTGTCCTTCGATGTTGGCGTAAAGCACATGATGCAGTCAAGTGTATTCTTCTTCTTAAGCTCTTTTATGAGTTTAAGTGGCTTCTCGTCCACCATTTTCACATCTTACTGAAAGACAAGAGGAGATAAAATGATAATTTGGAGTGAAAAATAATAAAAAAAGATGAATGATTTGTTAAAAAAAATTCCAGTTATAGACTTTCCGGTGGCCATTTTGGATTTCTGGGCATAATGGTGGCATCAAAATGCAGAAGTAATGTCACCAGTGAATTTCATCCCCAAATTAGGGGTAGTTGATCCCTTAAAGATGTTTGTAGGACAACTGGATCAAAAGTTACATTTTTCTTAAATTTCACTGACGACGCATGACGGCCATCTTTGCTTCCCATTATCGGGTACCCGCAGCCAGATATCGCGTGTATATCAGATGGTTGTTGGAAGATATAGGTACCAACTAAACAAAAATCATAGCAGCAGTTAAATAGACGCAGGGGGGGACCCTTTCGGTATCTGGCCACCGGTCTATCTCGAGAGAGAGCAAATTCTGATGTTATAACCTGTCTCTGTACTCAACCTTCCTTATGCCAGAGATTAGTCTTGTTATCCTCCTCTGACTGCTTTCTATGGAATCAATGTCCATACTGTAGTACGGTGACCAAAACTGAACCACATAATCCAAGTGAGGTCTTACAAGCGCAATATATAGTTGTAGGATAACTTCGCTCGTACTGTAACTAACACTCCTATGTATGAACCCAGGGTAGTGGGTAGTAGGCAGCTACCAAACAGTGAGGTACTACCGCCTAGGAAGATATTGGATGCATAATGTGTTATCTAATGGTAGATCTTGCTACCATATGGCATCACGAAAACTGTGACCAAGTCCCAGGTTGCTGATCTGACTTTCTGTCACATTTAAACACAATTGCAGGGTCTCAATTGTTTCTCTTACTATTGACAACACAACAAATATAACCGTATTCATTCTTAATCTGTTCTATTCATTCTATTTTATTCTTCTATGTCAATTTATATTAATATTGAAGCGGGGCCTTCTCGGATGGGTCCCACTGGTCGGGAAGGTTGTGGTCCCCAGGGCCGACACCTGATCATCATCAAACTACTGGGGCCTCAACTGACGCCACCGCGGTTGCTGGAGGATCGGCATTTTTCACACTTCATTTTTCCAACATTCGCGGCCTGAGATCCAATTTTCCTTCTGTGGAGCACCATCTATTAACCTCTTCCCCCGACCTGTTACTACTATCTGAACTTCAACTGACCAAAGCAGCTTCATCCAAACGTTTTCAAGTCTCCAACTACAACCTTTATACCTCTTTCCATTCTAAGGGAGGTGTATGCGCCTACTGCAACACACGTACACCTTTAGCTCGACTCACGAATCTTGAATCTTCCCTTAATGATGTCATCTGGCTCAAAATATCTCTACCAACTATGACTATTTTTCTTGTTTCCAATATACTGTTCTCCCAACTCTACCAACTAATAGGAACTCTTTGATTATCTCACTTCTTGCCATGATTCGTTGCTATCCACACACCCCAACACCGAAATTCTTTACCTAGAGGATGACCCAGGTGGAGCTGAGGCACTCTCTTTTTCCTTACTTAATGATTTGAAACAAATAATCAAACACCCTACACGCGTTTCAGATCGACACAATCAACTTGCTAACATTCTTGATCTTTGTTTTACCTCTAACCCCTCTCGCTTTTCGTACTAATGATCACAATCTTACTTCTATTAAATCACACTGGGCACGGCCACCTCCCCCAACCCTCTCTAAACGCCAACTATAGCACTATCGGAGGGCAAACTGGCAATTCTTGCGAGAATTCTTCTCCGACTTTCCTTGAGATGAATGTTGCTTTTCCACTCGGGACACCTCGGTATGTGCTGACAGCATTGCTGGGGTTATACAGGGTGGTATGAGTGCTTTTATCCCATATTCTACCGAAACTTTCACTTTACAATCATGGTTTGATCGCTCCTGTTCTCTTGCCTGTAGGGAGAGAGAGAGGACGGATCAAGCTATGAAACTATCTCCTATTATCCACTTCTCTTTCATTAATTCTAGGAATCGTTGTAGGGCTATTCTTCGTAGGGCCAAGCGGAATTTTATAAAAAGAAAGACAGCTGTCCTGAATAATTCTTCCTCAAGTAAATCCTTCTGGCCTTTAACCAAAAAACATCTGTAATAACTTCTGCACTCCCTCTTTTCCTCCTCTCCCCCTGACAAAGCCGAGCTCTTTGGCACCTTATTCTCCTTTAATTCCACTTTAGACGATTCCAACTCTATCCCTCCTACTCTTGCACCTCCTACTGAACCTATGCACCTTCCTATAATCTCCACTCGTAGGGTTGCTGGTGTGTTATCCAGGTTGGATGTGAGCAAGGCGCATGGACCGGACGGAATACCCCCTCGTGTTCTGAGGGAGTGTGCTGAAACTCTTCGCCTTTGCCTCAAACCCAAACTTTTCCTTCTTCTTGGAAGCTTGCCTTGGTTCAGCCCATACCGAAGAAGGGTGACCATTCTAATCCCTCTAACTATCGCCTCTCTAAGATTTTCGAAACTATCTTGAACTCCCATTTTCTCCGTCACCTTGAACGCCATTCTCTTTTGTCGGCTCACCAGTATGGCTTTCGCCAGGCGAGATCTACTGGTGATCTGCTCTCCTACTGCACCCATCTTTGGTCATCCTCTCTTAGGGATTATGGGGAAACTTTCGTCGTGGCCCTCGACATCTCCAAAGCATTTGGCAGGGTATGGTACAAGTCATTGCTTTCTAAACTTCCCTTCTATGATTTCTCTGCCCCACTTTGTTTTCTAATCTCTAGCTTCCTTGAGAACCGATCCGTGTCAGTAGTGGTGACCCACAGGGTTCTGTTCTTTCACCTACTCTCTTCCTTCATTTTATCAATGATTTATTTCACACTACAACTAATTCTATCCATTCTTACGCTGATGATTCTACTCTTCACTTTTCTTCACATTTTCCCCTAACTCTCAAACGAGATCCGTTTTGTTACCTTAACTTTTACTTTTATTTTAACATCAAAATTTAAATAATTTCTTTACCTGTGTGTGTCTAGGGGCTTTTTAGTTGAAATAATTTCGTTATAATACCTTGTAAAACTCACGCTAAATTACGTAACACGTGATAATCTGTTTGTAATGTAAACTTTTCTAATTTTTACGCTAGGTTTAGTTATACAGCATTACTTGGCTTAATTGAATAGTAGATACCACACTCATGGTTGACATACCATTACCCAACCCAGTATAAGTATCGTTGAGGGGGTTAGTTGCCTGACAAACTAGGTGTTTACTGTGGATGAGACTTGATTATATTGGATGAAGATTCCAGGCAGAATGTATACCTCTGCCATTGAGAAGTTTGGCGGTATTTTAGGAGCAGTGTGTAAGAGACAAACTACAGGCAGAGTCTTTTTTTCAGTATATAAGTAGGCAGTGTGGCCGGTAATGCACTTGACTGCCTTTACTTCACCATTTGTAAAGTTAGGTACCCATTCACAGTTAGGTGGACTGGGTGGGGAGCCCCAAGTCCACCTCTCTGTGAATAGGAAGGTACCAGCGATACTTAGGACAAAGGGTGACAGTTATAATTATCCACTCGGGCATGGCAACTCTCAGTAGTATTAAATACCGAAAATGAAAGTTGGATTAAAATAAAAGTCATAACCAATGTATAATAATTAATTATTGTCGTGAACCTTGGAATTTTGTGGAATACGATTGTCTTGCCCAATTTATCTACCCTGTCTGCGTTAAAAGTAAAATTATGAATGTGATACTTTACAGAACAACAAGCTGGCTAAGTCACGGTAGGGAACAGCGTGAACGATGGTGAATGTATAGTGGTGTGTGTGTGTGAAGGTTACCTGGTATGTGAAGTAAGAACGTTCTTCAGCTTCGCCTCTACGCTTTCATACCACTTCATGCTTACTCAAATACAATGATTCATTTAACTAAACACATATATTATACTCAATGAAAAAGGTTACTATCGACTATTTCATGTAATTATATATTCACCATGCAGATTATAATAGCCAAGATAATTGCAAACTTTCACAGAGGTGGAAACTCAGGTAATTCTGGCTCCGCCCTCCAGCTTATAAACAAGGCGTGCCTCTAAGAAATGGCCCAGTTTAGTTCTGTCGCTGCTAGTTTGTACATTTCAGGTGAGGAACCCAAGAATATGTCTTACTGGAAACGTTGACAACCTGCGCGGAAGTTTGTAGTTGTGTCTCTTCCAGTTCGTATATATTCCAGGTGAGACACTCAAGAAATATGTTCCTGCAGGTACCGAGAACTTGTCTAACGCACAGGACTTATACCTTGTAATGAACAGTCGTGCAACAGTATCGCCAAAGAGTTGTGTTATCAGATAATATGTTGAAAGTTATGAATTTCTAATAATTATCTAAGTTTTCCTGATATACGAATAATTGCTATTAATGACAGCTCTCAATAGTTACTCAAATATAAGGGGTTTCGACTTTATGTCCTCCGTGCACAAGAGATCCCCAGAGACGACTTATTGACTATGAACCTTTGCACCAATACTCTACCACCTCCCAGATATGATTCTCTCTCTCCTTTTTTTATATTAAGATTGCTTAAAATATTTACTCAAGTGGACGGTTTAGCATGGGATACCGACGAATTACTCAATGTTAATTCTGATAAGCGTTTCAGTTTAACATCATTCATCTGTGATTTATAATACTGACAGACATAAAAGCGATAATAAAAGATTAACCGCACATCATCAGTAACCCAGAAACGTGCAGATTCAGGTGTGTACAGTATAGATACAGAAAGCTTCAAGTGGTGACTGTACCAACTACAGTAGTACGTACTGGGCCTGATACAGTACTCCATCATCAAGTATTCCCAAATGATCGGAATGTTTGACTGCAGGAAACAGACCCGTTACTTCCCGTTGTTTATGAAACTTTACTGTTGGGGGGGTGGGGGTGTTCTCGGCGTCCTACCTGGCCCGCTCTCACTGTACTGGCCATCTGGTGGTCATTACCGTCTACCCTATCATTCAGGGATCACAACTTTCAGTTTCTACATACTTTCTTCCTTTTCTCACTTCCTTCTTCTTTTTATTGTTTTTTGGCTTAATATTAACGTCTTTGTTCCTCCTCGTATAAACTTGTTGAATCAATCTCTGTTTTAAGCACACGTTTCTGTTTTGTGGAAGAGACACAGGACAATGGTTCACCTGCCTGAAAGGTTTCCTACAGTGTTCCCCGCGATGTTGTTGTACCCAAGACAATAACACTAAGTAGAGACGGTCTACACACAGAACATGAAGATTGTGACTACTGCAGCGGCACAACGAGGAAAACTAATTCAAAATTTAATTCCAAGGTAATTATTGGTTTTTCTAACATAAGCGAACCAAAAAACCTAACCAAAATTAGAGTAGATTATTTTTTAAAGCTTGACGAGGTTAGAACGATACATATTGTACCTTATAATTAAGAACATAAGAAAATAAGGAGTCTGCAATTAGCCGGTTGGCCTGTGCCTGGCCGCTCCTGTCGAGAGTTTCAACCACTCTATATCGCTCATGACTCTATCTAGCCTCCTTTTAAAACTTTCCAGCGTCCCAGCACTTAATACAAAGTTGCTAAGCTTGTTCCACTCGTCCACCACCCTATTTGTGAACCAGTTCCTTCCTATCTCCCTCCTAAACCTAAACTTATCCAACTTGAATCCGTTGCTCCGAGTCCTATCCTGCTCGGATATTATAAGAACTTTATCTATGTCCCCTTTATTGATTCCTTTCACCCACTTAAATAATTCTATCATATCTCCCCGCACTCTTCGTCTTTCTAGGGAATGCAAGTTAAGTTTCTTTAGCCTATCCTGATATGGAAGGCTTCTAAGTCCCGGAATCAGTTTTGTCATTCTTCGCTGCACCGACTCTAGTGAATTGATATCCATTCTATAATAAGGGCACCAGAACTGAACCGCATAATCGAGGTGCGGCCTGACTAGCGCAAGATATAGTTGCAATAAGACCTCTGCACTCTTATTACTTACACTTCTATATATAAAACCCAATACTCTGTTTGCCTTATTTCGAACATTGACGCACTGTTTTCTAGGCCGTAGGTCCGGGCTTACAAGTACCCCTAGGTCTCTTTCACAAGTCGACCTCTCTAGATGATAATGTGTCACGCGCAGTGTATAGGCTGATGTACTGTATACCTATTGACACCATCATAAAAATTAGCCAAAATGTGCAACTCTTTCTAAACTTTTTTTTATTCGTATTTTTTAGTTAAGTTTCATCTCTTTCACCTCCGTCTACTGTTTAGTTGTGGCGTCTGACTCTGTGTAGGTAAACACTTGCTCTAGTAACGCATATTTTTGATGACACTTCACACGAACATGGATCACACGTACACGATGGGGTTCAAAGGTCAAATATAACAATGGGCAGATTATGTATACCTTTGTGTTTTCTGTTTACCTCTCCTAATTAGCCTTCCACCAGGTTAAACTATTTTATTTCGAACATCGTGGATCAATTTATATAACAGTAAAGCTTATTGGTAAAAAATGCTACTATAGACATTTGTGGTTTGTCTTAGTCATAATGTTCTTGGTTATTTATTATCTTGTACTGCACCAGTCAGTACCACAACGAATAATGTAGTGGCTTTAACAATAAGTATTTTAATCTGTGTTGGTATATAACATAATCTGTCCAGTGCTTGTCCAGGTATCGCTTTAATGTCATTATGTTCGGAGATGTGACCACTTGTTCAGGTAAGCTGTTTCACACGTTCACTCTGTCTAAGCTTTGTTGTTGCGAATATCGTAAACAGCTTCAATATCTACCATCTAGTATCATATTTTTGTGGCCTCGATATTAACAGGTTTCCTCACGTCATCTTCAACACCTCGATCACATCTCGACGTATTCTGCAGTTCACCCTCAATGGCAGCTTTTCCTTCCTAGACAAGATTCATATCTGAAGTTTTTCATCTCAGGTACCAATTTCTCGATGTGTATTTCTATATTTTTCAATTGCTTGGACGTCTTTCATATTTCAATAATACCAAAGTGCATCGGAATACTCTCAAACGTAGAAGGAACATGTTTAAGTTTGTTTGTAGCTAAGTAAGAGAGTGAGAGTTAGCGCATGTCCATCATCAGGTTAGGTTAGGATTTTGTCTTTGCAAACTTGATTTCTTGATAAGTTAAATTTACTGTTAACATATCAGAGCCAGACCCATGTCCTTCTCTGTCCCTTTTAACAGTTAGCTTAATGTACTTTGTGACTTTTTATTCTTCTCCTGTCAATAGTCGTAGGTCCAGTCACTCCAGAATACTTCAACATTACCTCGATTTTTTTTTCATGCACCAATAATGAAATCCAATAGTATAGTATTTTAATCCTGTCATACCATAATTATTGAGTTCATCTTCCTGGAGCTGATGAGAAACCACCGAGTACTTCAAGATGACTTTAAATGTAACATGACTTCTGTAGATATGTTTGATAACACTTGGAATCCATTATACGAATCCCATGTGATAAGGAAAGTCTTGGTGTTAGGACTCTAAACGTCTTTATCAGCTACGAACCAGACTCTTGATGGATTTGTCCTTCCCTACCTTATTCATCAATCGTCATTAGTTATTTTCATATATGTTCTTCTTTAGTAGTGTTCTAAACATATTTGGTTAGTTGTGGTTCTAAGCGTTTTGATCAGTTACAGGTATAAACAGTCAACATGTGGTAATGGGCAGCCTATGGGTGAGGTTCTTATGTCGGTAGCGTTCTTGAAGAAGTTTAACTTACAGGTCGTTCCTTAGTGAATTATCGTGTGTGTGTGTGTGTGTGTGTGTGTGTGTGTGTGTGTGTGTGACAACAGAAGATGGAAGTTATACATCCTGATTATTAAATTCGAGGTCAGTCAATCATTTTGCCTCCCACTTCCTTCTACCCTTCCAAATTATTATATATCACATGGAAGCAACACGACAACAGCTGTTTAGTGTCAAATATATGAGAAATAATACCCGGTGTAATGACGTGAAGGGTCGTTATCTAAGAAGCATTATCTTAGCTCCTTTAGGTATGATATCGTAACCCTTTGAATGCGATTAACTTTCCCTTCAGTATTATGATGTTACAATCACTAGGGTTAAGGCATCGTACACAAGGGCTAACTTTATAAGCGGAAGCCCTCATCGAAATTGTGTCAAGTCTTAAAATTATCTTATGAGCGTATCTATAAACGTGTTGATCTATGTGTTTATATGTGAGGACGCGCTTGTGTGAGTAAACATCAGTATAAGAAAGTGATGGAAAAGGTCAAGGAAAAGGGAGCAGCAGGGAGTCATTACCACCTGTGGGGATGTTGTGCCAGACATTGGACTTTATGGCCACAGTCTTGCGGTATCCCCATTACCCTCACAAATTTCTCTCATTCTATATTCTGACGCAAATTTGATATTTTATTGCTTTATTATTACAGTCTGGTGACGAAACTTTCGGAATAAATATCCATCTCTTAGAGTCGTTTCCTCACTACCATACTACTACGTTAGGATAGGTTAGGTTAGGTTAGGTTACGTTACGTTACGTTAAAACTTAAAATCTTCTACTTGTATTTTCTTTACATTTATCTTCATGATTAGTTGAGTTCTCAAACCTGTTCGACCCCCCCCTCAAAAAAAGACGGTAATACTAATAAAATCACCCACATGATGCACTCACATTCTCGTTAAATCATTAGTATTTCTAAAATGTGGGTTTTATATATGTCTTATGTATGTAAAGTTGATTTATTTGAAGATAATAGGCTGTGGTCGCCAACCCTCAGATATGAGGATGGTACACTGATTGCTTGAAGTCTGCAATAATTCAGTCTCCTTCCTCTTGCATCTGCTTTTTTGATAATTCTTGAATATTTGATAATTCTTGATAATTCCATTACAGCTAAATGCTTGCTGTTTATAAGCTGTTTTATAACCAAATATTTTTTCCCTCGAACATAGTGATAATTCAGGTGTGTCAGTCTTCAGTATTATTTCAAAGTTTGTCCGAAAGTTATCTCACATAGAGTAAGTGTCAATGTTTAGATCTGACCACAAATCTATATTTTACACTTTGCATTCCACAAAGTAAATAGGATATGCTGCTCTACTTTTGTCGAAACTCCAAAAAAAAAATCCATTGATGACACAGATATTCAATTAAATTCGTCCTAATGCCATCGTTTAGGAGGGGAGGGGA